TAACAATAATAAATAATAATAATAATAATAATCACTAAGTAATAAATAATAATAATAATAATCAATAATCAATAAATAATAATAATAATAATAATAATAACAATAATAATTGAAATAATAATAATAATAATCAATAAATAATAATAATAATAATAATAATAATGATAACAATAATAATAATAATAATAATAATAATCAATAAATAATAATAATAATCATCAATAATTAATAATAATAATATTAATAATAATAATAATAATATGTACATTTGTATATACACATATGTATAGTAATAAATAATCAATAAATAATCAAAGATCACTAATCCGTAGTTAAAAATCACTAATTAATAAGTTCAGTTTAGTTCAGTTCAGCTGAGTTCAGTCAATCGGAACAGGCCCTTGGACTAGAAAAATTTCAAAAATTGAGGAGAGAAGAAGAAGAGTAGTTTGGATTAACTACTTCTTATACCATATGTAAATAGTTATAATTGCATAGTGTCTTTTAACCATGCTCATCTTTTCTGATAGCAAAGTTGGTAAAGACTAAAGAAAGAGGGGTCACAAAAGTAGATGCCATTTCTTTTTGAAGAAAAAAAATTGCTAAGGTTAGGAAGAAAGTTGGGGAAAAGAAAAAAAGATTGGTAAAGTTATTTAAGGTGGAGGTTCGTCGACTTTCTTTAATTTAATTTGGTTGTATTATATCACCCAACTTATTTACCAATAAAATAATAAGAATGATTATAGTGGGCATGATTTAGAGGTTAGTCACATTTTTATTTACAATAGGATTGATTAATATAATACCTTTCATTGTAGTCAATCATAGGTCAATGTCATATAACTGATACACGAGTTTGAGCAAATAGGAGTGGTCCATTATCTTTCGACTCTGTTATATCTATTGTAAAGTCCATTCTTTAACAAATTATGTTGTTGTTTTAGGCTACTAAATTTCAACGATAAATCCTAAAAGTCATTTCGTTCATGCCCTTTCTTTCAAAACAAGCAAAACATTTGATCACAAGTGTGACTATTTTAGTAATTGTTGTACAACACAATACTTGTAATGTATTTGAAAATTGATTTGAATGTTTGGTGAAACTAATCCGACCATAAATTCTTCTTATCCGAATATGCCCCATCTTAAATGAGTTCTCCATACCCCCATACCTTAAAACCATTTCTAATACTACGCGTATTCGAATATGACCCGACTTAAATACTTAATTACCATTTCTAGCACTATGCTTACTACACTTGTCACTAGACATTTGGCCATAAACAGACAAAACATATAAAAGTACTCTTCTTTAATTAAAAGAAAGAAACAATGTCGTACGAGTATGACTTGTATGAGTGAATGATTCCGAATAACTGAGATAAATTAAGATCAGTGGCGAATAACAATTCACAGAAATGTTGGTGTCAATTTTCTAGAAAAAAAAAAAGCAGAGCAGGCCTCTGTTCTTCGTTGTCATTTTCCTTCACTGGTAATCAATCTTACTCTATTTCAGTGTTGTTTGATTCAAAGTTCCTTGCTTTCTGTGTACTTGTTATTGTGATTTCATTTTAACTGAAATTAGTTTTTTTGAGGGAAAATTGATCAATGAATTGCTTTTTCATTGATGTGCTAATTTTTTGTAACAAAAATCATGATAATCTGTGATTTTTTATTTATATCATGTATAGATAGTATCATTCATGGCATTGATTAATTTAATTTCAAAATAGTATGGATTCATAATTTCGCTATGATTTCCTTCTGTTCAATTCTGAGTTAAAATTTTATCTGGGTTTCATTTTATCATGCCAAATATGAAAACCCTTTTGAATATTGGTTTAATTGAGTTAATTTTGTGTTAAAAATTGGAATTGCATGTATATGTTTTTTTGGGCTAGAAATAGTAAATTAGGTTAAGCTTATACTATAATGTAGGTTTTAATAGAAAGGGGGTTTTTTCTAATTTGTGAAATTAATTGTTTTTTTCTCACTTAAATCAGGAAAAATGAGAATGAAAAGAAAATCTCTAATTGAGGAAAGGTATTATGGGATCAAAAAGAGGCAGATGAATTTTATAAAGATGGTACAAGAAAGAGCTGTTAAAATGAAAACTTCTTGGGTGCCTTTTTTACCTAATGATTTGATGTTTAAGGTCTTTCTTTTATTACCAATCAAATCTCTTTTGAGGTTTACTTCTGTTTGCAAGGCATGGTATAAGTTGATCCATTGTGCTGAGTTTGTTGAGGCTTACAATAATCATGCTGAGACCACCCCTATCATACTCCGGGGAGTTGCTAGCAAAAGACCATCCACATTCCATGTCGAAACCCAACTCAATCAAGCCGAAAGCTTTTGTTTGTTCCCTTGTAGCTCAGGGGCTAAACAAAGCAAGTTCATCCATTTCTTGGAAATTGACAATGAGAAGGGCAAGCTAATTGACCTCAATATTAGCTGTTCCGGATCACTTGTATCCACTTGCAATGGGTTGATTTTGATCACCTCTATGCAAGAAGGACTTATGAAGCATAGTAATTCCTTTTTGGATCATCCTTTGGTTGGCAGTCAAGAAAAACCAGGGTGGTTGATTGTGATGAATCCTATGACGAGAAAATTGATAGGATTTCCTCCAGGAACTCTTCCGATTAAACTTCATAATGAATCATATGGGCTAGTTTATAGCCATTTAGAAGGTGTTTTTAAAGTGGTGCATTTGTTCAAGGATAAATCAGGGTGTATTGCTTGTGAGATTTTGAGCTTGCAGACAAGATCATGGAAAGCGGTTGATGGGCCAGTTGGAACGCTTTTTAATAAATTAGGCCAGGCACACATTTCAGCTCTTGGAGCTTTGCACTGGCTTCCTGGTCCATCTAATTCCAATTATATAATCTCTATGGGGGCTGATGATGAAAAATTCTCCGTGACAGACCTTCCAATGACCATGGGTATGTATAACAGGCTAGTCGAAATGGGTGGTTTTCTGAGCTTTGTGAACAGTTTGGATATGGACCATATAGATGTGTGGGTCTTGAAGGGGTTAGAAGGAGCGAAGTGGGTAAAGCAGCACACCATTTGCATTGATGCTCTTTTGGGTTATGTGGATAACGAGGAGTACTCTTTACCTTCTTTTGGTTTGAATGCCAAAGAAATGGTATTTAGGAGAAAAAAGAGATTGTATGCATACGACTTTGAGCTTGAAGAAATCAGAGAGATTGAAATGGACCATGAAAGTATCACAGCATATGAAAATATCATACCCCACTCGAATAACCTTGCTACATGGGAACCTCTTGAACCAATGAGGTAAATGCTTTTCAGGCTAATTACTCGCTCATATGTTGATTTTCTAGTAATAGAATTCCGCCTCTGTGAAGTTCTGCTTATCAATTAATCTTATAGATTAATGGGCCTCCATGAAGTTTTCATCTTTCTCAATTGCACGCTTCATAAAGCATTTCAACAGAACTTGAGTGCATTCAAAGATCTTATTTTTCTTTAGAATTGACAAACTTTGAAACTTGTTTTTAGTCCAAGGAATGATCAATCTATCATGTAGATATAAAGCATTGTAGTTTCGCTTAACTAACTGAGAGCAGGTGCAACCGTGCAAGGCTCTACTAGTCCAACATAAAACTTTGATGGTGACTTAATCTTCCAGGATATGGGGGAGAGTCCTACAATATCTGTATTTCTATTTCTGTATGAGACTTACCATTTTATAATTAGCTGTTTGCTCATTTATCAAGTTTAAAACTTTTGAAGATTAGATGTATGACTCATGTCTGTTATGGTGTTTAACCTGGATTGCTAATCATCTAAGATCTGTTTTAGGCAATACCAAATCATCAATGTTATAAGTAGCTCAGATTGAGTAAAAAAACATGGCTTTGTTAGTACTCTGATGTACAGTTTTAGCATAGCCTAAGCACTTTATATTATGAATCTTACCTTGGGGGAAAAACCTTTGTTTAAGTAGGTTGGACCTGTATTAACTGCTTACATGTTTGTGCCGTGTGTATATATTATTATCCCCTTTTTAATTGCAGAATCAGAAACAACAAACCCTGACTTGGTTTATTTCTTTTCTTCTATAGTTAATCCTGAAGATTTTTTGCACCATGCATTGAAGCTCTTGAAGGCCTGAAGCTGCTTGAGAACATCTAAATATGCGTTAAGCAAACCGTGTTCATAATGCTCCTTTCCATCACATATCTATTCATAATCTATTTGAAACTTTGGATCAGCTTGATGACTTGATTTTATGGTTATGTGGTTTAATTATAGTAATGGCAGTCCACATAAACACTTGTATATTTGGAAGTTGTTGCACTAAGAGATTGAAGTATGTATGTAGATATAAAGCTTGTTTCAGTGATCTAAAATTGTATTATGCGGAGTTGTGCTAACACGATCTTTGCTGATTTGTATGATATTCGGTGTAGAATAACTTGTTTACTTGGTGTTGTTTTATGTCTTGCTCTTCAACTTGAAATCCCATAAGACTAGCCTGCTACATTGGATTACTTTGGTTTACTGAGACTAAAATTAACATGAAAGTTTGTGATTGTGAAGTTGGACTTCTTATCTTACTCCATATAACTAGAGGAAGTGAATTAATATGGTGAATATTAAACATGAAAGTGTTTATTATTGTTATCTACTTGGACTTGCTCCTGTGATATTTTGAATATAAATTGTAGGGGAGGTAACCCGGCGACATAACTTTAGCCCTTTTTTTTATACACCATCAATGGATAACTTGACGTAAGACTCTATTTATCTATTTATTATTCTTATTAGTTGCAACTATGAAACTATCAATTACTACTTATAATCAAGCGAATCAAACTATCAATTACGACAAAAGTATTTGTTTTTTTTTAAAACAAAAAAATACGAAATAGCTACATACAAAATACGACTATATGAGTATAGTAATTTTTTTATTATGAAGAAGAGTATAAGATTTTTTTTTTTTTTTTTTTTTTTTTTTTTTTTTTTGTTGAAGAGTAAAAGAACTTTTTTGGTAAAATTAAACTATTAAATCAGATAAGAATATAAGATCATACGAAATACTACTACCTGAGGTCTAAATTACTCGTAACCTTAGGGTATTATTTGTGAGATTAGATAAGCAAAAAATTAAGGTACGGAAAAAAGTAACCTTAAAAACCCTCAACGCGTGCGATTGAAGATTTTAGAAAGAAGAGTGTAACAACTAGGAGTGCAGCCCTCTCTGGTCATCGTATTGCCTTCTTCCTTCATTTCCCTTTCAATCTCTCGCATCTGGTAAATAAATTCTTCTCCTTTCTCTGTTTCACTCTTTTTCTTCATTGTATTTTTCAATTTTTGTTTCAAATTTCCTGTCTTTCTGTGTTAATATGTACGGTTTTAAACTGATCAAATTACCCCATCAAAAATTGTAAAAAAAACTGATCAATTTAGCTTCTTGTATTGAACTTCTGTGTTTGTTTCAGATTATCGACTTTGTAGATCTAATCATATTCAAAAATTTAAATGGGTTCATGATTAGATTATGCTTTCCTCATATTAATCTGTTCTATACTAAGTTAGTGATATAGAAGTATGAAATAATTGAAATTACATTTGGGTTTCAGTGAGTTATGGAAATTTGAACACTCTTTTGGGTATTTGAGTAATTCTGCTTATTATAGGCTGTAATTGTATGTTTATGTTTTTAGTTTTGAAGTGTGAATTAGGTTAAACCTACATAATGTGGGTTTTCTAATTTGTTGAATTATTTGTGTAAAATTAATGTTGTTTCACTGATAGCATTTGTTATATAATTATTAGGTTGACCACTTGAATCACTAAAGATGAGAACAAAACGAAATTCTTTAATTGGTGAAAGGTATTGTGGGACTGAAAAGAGGCAGATGAGCTTAATTAAGACAGTGCAAGAAAGAGCTGCCAAACTGCAAACTTGTTTGGCACCTTCTTTACCTAATGATTTGATATTTCAGATCTTTCTGAAACTTCCAGTTAAATCTGTTTTGAGGTTTACTTGTGTTTGCAAGGCATGGTATAAGCTGATCCATTGTGCTGAGTTTGTTTCCGCTTATAATTCTCTTGCTCAAAATACCCCAGTTATACTCAGAAAAATTTATGGTGAAAGATCGAACACTTTCCATGCCGAAGCCCAACTCAATTTATCCAAAAATTTTAGTCTCTTCCCTTGCAGCTTGGGGTGTAGACGTCAAAGCAAGTTCATCTATTTCTTAGAGATTAAAAATGAGAAGGGCGAGCTTCTTGACCTTAATATGAGCTGTTATGGCTCAGTTGTATCCTCTTGCAATGGATTGGTTTTGATCATTTCTAAGCATGAAGCACTTGGAAGGTATAGAAATTCATCTTTGGACCAGCCTTTGGTTGACAGCAAAGAAAACCCAGGGCAATTGATTGTGATGAATCCTATGACTAGGAAGTTGATAGGGTTTCCTCTAGGAACTCTTCCTTTTAAACTTCACGATGAGTCGTATGGGCTGGTGTTTAGCCATTCAAAGCGTGTTTATAAAGTGGTGCATTTGTTCAAGGATAAATCAGGGTGTATTTCTTGTGAGATTTTGAGCTTGCAGACAAGATCATGGAAGGCGGTTGATGGACCAGTTGGAGTAATTTTTCGTAATTTTGGCCAAGCACCCATTCCAACTGTAGGAGCTTTGCACTGGCTTCTTGGTCCTTTTGGTTATGATTACATAATCTCTATGAAGGCCGATGATGAAAATTTCTTCATAACTGACCTTCCAAAGACTATGGATAAGTATGATAGGCTAGTCGCAATGGATGGTTCTTTGAGTTTTGTGAATGGTTTGGACAAAGACCACATAGAGTTGTGGATTTTGAAAGGGTTAGAAGGAACAAAATGGGTCAAACAACATACTATTCTTATTGATGCTAGTTTGGGTTTGGATTATGTGGTGTATGGTAATCTGGATTATGAAGAGCATGTTAATGTGGGTGATGAAGGGCATGGTAATGAGGAGATTGAGGGTAATGAGGAGCATGGTAATGAGGATAACGAGGAACATGATAACGTGGATGACGAGGATGATGGGGAGATTTTGAATTTGGACAATGAGCAGCATGTAAATGTGGGTGATGAGAATAATGAGGGGTTTGGTTTTGTGGATAATGAGTATTATTCATTATCTTGTTTTGCTTTAAATACCAAAGAAATGGTATTCAAGAGAAGAGATAAATTGTTTGCATATGATTTTGAGCTTGAAGAATTCAGAGAGATCAGAATGGACCATGGAAAAGTTTTGGTACATGATACTATCATACCTCACGCCAATAACCTTGCTACCTGGGAACCTCTTGAATCTATGTGGTAAATGCACTTTAGGCTAATTTCTTTATGGTTACTACTAGAGTTTGTGGTTTCTTTGCCCCCCCCCCCCCCCCCCCTCTCTCTCTCTCTCTCTCTCTCTCTCTCTCTCTCTCTCTCTCTCCTCATCAGCTTATCTGATACTTCGTAAATTCTCATGCTTCTGTGAAGTTCAATCTAACTTGATCGCACCATTGTAAAGAGCATTACAGCAGATTGAGTGCATACAAGGATCTTGCTTCTTTTTTTTTTTTTTTCAAAAAAATTTAATAAATAAATTTTATTTTTTAATTGACTAAGTTTGAAATTTGATGAAGTTAGTCGGAAGAGCTATCAATTTCTTACATGCAACTAGCTCTAAAGCATTGATGGCTTTAGGTTTGGTTTCAATAAGAAAATTGAGAGCTGATATAGCACTCTGCTAGTTCAATTGCTATGACTGTACAGCATAAAATTTAAGATAACTCAACCTTCTAGGGGCATGGGTAATGATAATGAATAGTCTTACAGTCTTTTTGTTCATAATCCTGGCTAACTTGCATGAACTTACTCGTTCTTCAAGTCTTGGCAAAGGGTAGATATGTGTAGTCATGTTCTTATGTTGACAAAACTGGACGAGTTATATTCTAAGATCTGTTTTAGGCTATACCAGTGTATGATCTCTAGCTCTAGCATAGAATTGATCATTGTAGAAAAAAATATACACTTGTGTTAAAGTAAGCATATGTGATACATGTTCGCAACTTACATGTTTCTGCAATGTGTCTTTTCTTCGTCTGTAATTGTGTGGAAACATCTCTATATCTCTGATTAGTGTTTTTTTTTTTTTTTTTTTTTTCCCCACTTTTACAGTTGAGCTTTGATAAGTTGCCAACACGTTGAAGTTCTAGAAGGCCAGAAGCTCACTAGTAACTGCTAAATTTATGTATTCGATATTTGTGACCATGTTCATTATCATTTAACACATTGGATCAGCTTGGTCACTTAATTATTTGGTTCTATGGTGTGCATTATGCTGTTACAGTCCACACAATAGTAAGATTGCTGTGTATATTTGAAAAAAATTGCCGCAAGTTATTAGAGTAGTCGATTTTATGTAAGATGTTGGTTATCTGTTATGACATTCAATGGCTGTAGCAAATCATTTTGTAAATGACAATTTGACAATGGAGGATTCTGTTAAGAAAGTCGGGCTTCATCTCAAAACCTGAGGAAGTGGAAGATTGCAAATATTAGTACAAAATTGTACTTGCTTAAAAGGAAGTACACATTATTGCTAATCTTGATTGAGGTAAGTTAGCTATAATTGACATTAAGGGAATTGGGGTTAATTTGAAAACGGGTTACTTTCCCTAATACTGTTGTGTTCAGGATTCTGCACACTGCATCATTCCGAATCTAATCTGGTGCCAGATGGTTCAATATTAATGTACTAGGTAGAGTAATAAAAAGGTGGATTAATCCATGACTCAGAAACACAAGTATCCTTGTTATATCACATTGCTACCGAGCTCTGTTTTCTTCCACGACTATGATACTATCTTTCACGAAGATCACACACTCATACAGGGCCTTAGGTCCCTATCTCGGGGTAGCCAGTCAGGGAATTTGGGTGGATATCGTTAAACTTGACAAAGATGGTTTCCGAATTAAGGTATTCTGGCCTCTGGTGTCCCTGTATCTGGAAACCATATCTGTAGTTCTGTACGCCTTCTAAACTTTCAACTTTCTGAAACACTGGTTAGTCCCCTTCAATCAGCCACCAGGCAAACAAAAGAAGCTAAATTTTTTTCATCCAAGTTTTATCAACAGTCCACCCCAGACCACAGTTATATCGCAAATGGTTCCTCTTTCTTCAAGCAATATGACGAATTCCTAGACTAATACAGACACTTGAAGATCGACAAACATCCAATAGCAATTACACCCACATATTCAGAAATCAAAGCAGATCTCTATGACTCAACTCATGAAACTCCATGTGCTAATGCTAGTTCATATTTATCCTCCATCTCTTCGCAAAATTCAAGTTTATATGATAAAACCATATAATTGTCACAAGTTTTCAGCATCTAGTCTTGTAAAAGAGATTACTTCACCTTCAATCAGTGCCCTACGAAATTCTTTACTGCAAGTCCTCCCCGAAAGCTCGAACCCAACCCCCTCTTCCCCCTAAACCACATAAATGGACTCTTTCCAATCCATACACTAAACCTCTTTGTTGCTAAAGATCACATGTTACTACACATTCATTAAAACTTCGTTCCAACAAGTAAACAGACTCGAGTGTATAAGAACAAGCCAAGCTCGACAAATTAGATGCAATACAATTTCATAGCAAATCAAGCTGCATTTCTCAATAAATCTTGGCCATTGCAACAACATTACATAAAAAGAGTCCAGATTATCTTCATTCATAAAATAGCAGCAGCCAATAAGGTGTTTCAGAAACAACATTAACCATAAAAATAGAACAAATTAAGCTCATAAACTAAAACTCACAACACATCTTAGAGCCTAAATCATCCAACATTGTTAATCATATACACAATATAATAGCATCTCAACTCTCATTAATCCATTATATTTCAAAATTCAAAGATTTTAACAACAAATCTTAAAATTTCTCCCCAGTAATCTATACCTGACAATCGAATACAAAAAGAACAATCGATTCGCAAATTAATCAAATCAATTGCACAAAGTTATTGATTAGCGCCACTACTGGAACCAGCTTCATGCGAGCAACAACCATGATCATGGTGTTGTTTATCAGCAGCATTCGATTTATCAGCAACATTATCATCTTCATCATCACTAGTATCTTCATCAAAGGGTTTCTCCTTGTGAAAAATACAGCATTTTTTGGAGCTTTTCTTGTTCATAAATTCATTATTGATTGTGCCTTCTTTCCAGGATACCTTCTTCTTGCGATTCAGACGAAGAACTAGGGTTTCCGCCTGTTGTTGTTGATTTGAAGATGGAGTGCTTTCTAGGGTTAGGGTTTGAGAAATTGTAGGTGTTGCCGTTCTACTGGTGCTCATCGTTTAATCGGATCGACGAAATTTGAATTCAATTGAATTGGGGATTTTTTTTTTAGGGTTTGAGGAGAGGAAATTGGTGAAGAGTTACTGTATAAATTGATTGAGATTAATGAGTTTGATTTAGACAGATGCAGGGGTTTCCATTTTATAGACGACTACTTGCATACGAGAAAGTTCTAGTCGCAATTTGGCGAATGACGCAAATCATACGGAATACAAATTGTACAATGTTGGATGTTTATACGAGTAGTCCATATCCACGATTTGGTGCATTCACGTGATCATCATACCTTTACCAAATAGTGAGTTGGTTGACCATCTTTTTTACACCATTTGTATTAAAGTAGAGATATTTCGAACCACTTCTTAATTCCGTATAAAAATTGGTTGTGGCCTTGTGGGACACGATCTCCTTCAATACACATATTTAAGCGATTTACTCCTAAACTTTATACGGAGTATAACAATTAATCATTTTAAGGGGGTAGTTGGTATGACGGTATAAATATAGAAATTAAAAAGGAAAAGAATAAATAAGAAGGAAAAAAGAATTATGTAAGGGCTTGTTCTCTTACGTTGAAATTCAGTTCAGTTCAGCTCAGTTCAGTTCAGCTCAGGTCAGCTCCTAATTTCCTTCTCTTATAAAATATTCATTTCAGTTCAGTTCAGCTCTTAATTTTCTTCTCTTATAAAATATTAATTTCAGTTCAGTTCAACTCAGCTCAGTTCAGTTCAGTCAATGAGAACATGCCCTAACTCTTACCTTTTCATTTGTTTGGTTTAAACATAAAATAAAATCATCACTTAAAGTTTTGTTTGATGTGGCCAAGGGAAATAGGTAGAAATCATTACCCGAGTCCCAAGATAACAATAATAAGCCACATAATCTCTTTTTTCAAGTCCAAACTTTCTAACCAAAACACTTGGTAATGTTGATGTCATGATGAATTACTTGAATCCGGTTCATTAAAAAGAAGATTTATGTACAACACAAATGAAAACACAAGGGTTCACGTGATGTCATGATTATGAGTGAATACATATGTGTTTAGTGCATCCGAGTGCATAATCTCATCAATCAATATGAGATACTACTCCTAGTAATCTATTTAAAGTTTTAAACTCATTTTTTTCACCTAATGAACCCTTATTTGATTTTTATGAACATAGATTTTAGATGTGGTAAATATATTGACGGATGACATCAAATTTACTCAAGTGATTATGCAGATTGTCTAATTATGATTATGTTTCTTAATCTGTTGAATAAAAACATAAAAAGAAATTACAAAAACAGTTCTCTTTAAACAAAAGCCCGTCTAGCTCAGTTGGTAGAGCGCAAGGCTCTTAACCTTGTGGTCGTGGGTTCGAGCCCCACGGTGGGCGTTTAATCAATATTTTTTGCACCCATTTATAATGATTTTTATCAATACATTTTGAGACGAAATATACATTTAATTTACACTTTAATCTAGCAACAATTGAAGAATTCTGAACCAACTATAAATTTGCACTAAAGATCTTGGTATGCTTAAGGCGATCAATAATATCAGCAACAGAACCCACTGCAGAAATGAGCGAAACAAGCAAAGCAATCAAACATAACCCTTGAAGCATAAACCACTTGACCCCTCCTTTCTTTAGATCAACCTGTTTCATGTGCATTCTTACTGGCAAGTAAACTGTCAAAGGAAAAAAGGCAATTGACCCTAACAGCCCCAACACTGCATTAAAGAACGGGAACATCATGGCAGTTAGCACGGTGATGACTACGACTAGGGGTCTTAGGAGAAGCCGGCATAGCGTGAATTTGAAGCTTAATGTTTTGTATCCTGGGAGTTGTATTGTGTATGTGTTGTGGATGAACGGCGATGCTGGCCATCTCATGGCTAGCCACTTCTCGTAGCAAGCAAATATTGGTTGTGCAAATACCTGAACATAGTAGTTGCTAGGTCGATATATATAGGCTACATATATAATAACTTTGACGACAATTTGGTACATAAAAATAGAGATGTACACGTAACGTACCTGAAATGCTGCAGTTAAATGTATAACCACCCCAATATTGGCAAGGTCAACTAGCCAAAAGGGTTCATGGAAGGCAGTGAGAACATTTCCTGGAGCCTCATTACCAAAGGCGAGGTATCCCGTACAACCCAAGGAAACATAAAAGGCGGTAGTCAATGCAATGCTGTACAAAGTTGCCCTCTTCATCGTTTTATTCTCTGCTGGAGGCGATTTTAACGTGTCCTGCAGTTAAATTCTGTTTTAATCAGAAAAATTCAACATAGCTTGGTTAAAACCAATTGAAGAGAGCAAATGTGTAAGTATTATACAATAATACCTCAATCTCAATGAGCAACTGAGCATAGGTGTAAGAGAAGGCAATATTCCCAAGAGCTTGAAAAGATTGCCAGAGTTTAGAGGACAAAGTGAGTCCATTTGTCCCTATCTCAACACCAGTTAGGTTGCCTCTAAGCTCGGGATGAGACACGAATTTGGCTATACATAAATATAGTGCAACAAACGAGTAACATAGTGACATTGTGGCCGCGATTACTGAGAGGAAAGTCACCTTCTCGAGGCTAGGAAGTTGAGAGAGTACAATATGTATGGCCCCGAAAATTAGCAGGAAAGAGTTGCTTGATGGTTGACAATCTGCTTCTGGTCCTTTTGTGTGGTAGCAGTTTGTTCTTTTAACAGACCTTAAACATGTAAAATAATGAATCTTGGTTAATGCTATGATGTATTACAAAGCATAAGAATAATATGGCATAAACAAATGTTATTGCACAATTATGATGCAAAAACACTCACAACATGCTTGTTGCTGCTGTGATTGTGTAACCAACAATTGTTCCCCAAAGCAAGGAATACTGAGCAAAAGCACATATGAACACCTCCGTTTTTCCTGTAACATTTAAACATCAATAATTCATTCTAATAAAGATTTTAATACAATAGTAGTGAGATGTTGATTCAATCACCTAAGGTAGCGCGTACAACTTCCATGTAAGAGTGGTTCCTCTGGCCCTTGACAGGGTCAGGAGTCCGATAACAGTCGCAGAGTAAACGGGCAGTGATGTAAGTAATAACAGCAAAACCAAAGAGAGAAAGTGGACCATAAATCCAACCCATCTGAGCAACACTCCATGGCACTGCTAGCAAACCCGATCCTATCACTGCTGTCACCGCGTGTGCTGTTGCAGTCCATACAGTTCCTGTAAGTTGTACATTTTTTTGTTCATGTTAGAAATTAGTAAGATTTCCATCTTTCATTGCTTTGTACAACCTAATCAGTCCATGTAACCTTGCATGGTTTAATTACTTGTTTGAGTATTTTTTTTTTTTTTTTTTCAGTCAATGAGTTGTTACTTGTTAGCATTAAGTTGTGCGTGCTACCATTAATCAACAATATATAATGTATTGAATTACTCCGTAAAAAAGTGGGTTGAAATAAAAATCTAAAACTGAACATGATAGAGAATATACGCAACATATTCTTTATTTAGGTTTAAGATGATCACATTTTCTTTGCTAAAATGTAATGTTGTGGTTAAATAAATTATTTAGTATTACTTTTTGTAAGACTATAAAGTTGGAAAAGATGAGTTGCTAATCAAGAATAATTAGCTAAACTTTATTTTTCATTTCTTTGTTCTCTTTTCCTTTTTTATTTACTTTAATTATTAGTTTTTATACCAGTCAGTATCTATGAAGGTGAATGTGGTGAGAAACACACAAGTGACTCAGAGTGCATTAAAAAAGAGGGGGAAAAAAAAAAAACCACTCAACCTACAAAAAAAATAGTGCTCATGTACTCACCTAAAAAAAAGTTACTACTTATTAGCAATTTGTTTATTTTTCTTAGATTGACCTCTATTATATGACATAATCCCTTTCTTTAATGTCATTTAATTAGATGGGGTAATCATAATGCTCTACTTTCCAAGTTTTAAGGAAGTTTTTGGTAATGGATTCTTCCTTCTAAGGCTATTTTTCTAGATCACCTCAAATAAAAATAAGTTAAGTTCAACAAATATTCTCCACTATATAAAAACGCGCAACACTAACCTAGTAAGGTGATCTATAGACATCAGCTGTAACATTATCCTTTCTTAAAACTCAATATCAAATTACCTCCCAGCTTTCCCCTTCACTAAAACTTAATTAACAATTTTAATTTTTCCGTAAACAAAAGTTAGTAATTAACAAGCAAAGAAGAAGTAATGAAAACATTAGATAAGTGAAGTGCAAGTTATTACCTGTCCTAATGCGGCCATCATCATCAAAATTCATGGTTATATTATGTACTGAAGTTTTGATGGTATGAAGAAGTTAGGTTTCAGACCGCTGCTGCTTTTAGTGAGAAAATAATCTCTCAACTTTGATAATGTATCTTGGTTTGTCTAATATAATAGTATATATAATATAATGGGAGGAAAAAAAAAAAGTAGTTCTTGCTGACTCAATTGTTAATGATTATTATGTATTTTAGTGGATGCTTGGGTTGTTTGTAAAAGAACTTTTAATTTGAGGTTACAACACTATATATATGGGATAATTATTGTGGGTCATAATTTGGAGTTACACACTGTATTCCACTAAATTTAATCAAGTTTATTGGAAAACTTCACCAACTTATGTATGTATTATATATGTTGTGTATACTTTGATCTTCATGGATTTTGGAATCTCATGATTCTCATCCACTTAAGTTTGTTTTTTTCACCTACTTTACTTTTGCTTGTAATTTGAGGGATCTTAGGTTGAAAGAAAAAATAATCACCACAAATACATTCAATTTATGACATGACATGTCAACCATATTATTACATATATATCTATATACATTCATTTACAAACACGTATATATTCGTGAATTACTAATAACCTTAACTTGCATGTCAATAACATAATTATGAAATAAAATAAAATGTAGTAGCTTATATAAGTATGAAATTAGCCATACAAACGATAATACCAATAAACACATTCTAAATCTTTAATCAAAGTTTATAGAACCTTAATAAATTAAGTGCTCTCATCATTTTTAGTCTTCTCATGAGCTAGCAGCCTATTGGGGCTACGCTTCCCTTATATCAATTTGACATCATCTTTCTTCAAGGAAAGTTGATGGAACTTGAACTTTAAAGTAGCCCCAAGTGTTTTTATAATGTTATCTACTCTATTAATTAAAGTTGAAAAGTAATACTCGTATTTGATAGATAAAGTAGCAAGTCAAGTTATTTTCTACAAAAAAGTTATTTTGTATTATTAAATACAAAACATAAGTGTACAACCATAAATATTCCAAAAAAAATAATTTTTTCTTCTTCCTCTGTTTATTTCATGTAAATTTCACTTTCTATGATGGCATGAAGCTAATTTTGAACTAAACACTTAGTATTACAGAATATTAAGCATTAAGCATTCAACTAGGCAACTAGCAATGAGTACTTTGTATGAAATGCGAACTAATCCATTGTTCTATTAGCAAAGACATATATCAAACTTAGTTGCACAGCTTGCACCTAATGTATCCCAGAGACCCAAAGGTAACAAAATTGGGTTCTTTCCACCCCATTTTTACAATCTTACTCTGTTTCTCTTCATACAATGCCGTGTATATTTCACATAAAACATAAATAAAAAGGCCGAATTTGTCGACTTTCAAATAAAATGGACAAATTTTCAGATTTCTTCCCCCTAATTGTGCAATACTTGTGAACAAGAATTTTTTATCATTTTTAAAATTTTTATTTTAGCCATGAAACCAAAAAATAAAATAAAATATTGTAATATAAAATGCTTCCTCCCGTTATTATTACTCGTAACAAAAAAATATTATATGTATCGTAAATAATAATCCTTTGTTGCTAGTAATAAGAACAGGATATACTATATCGAGTGTTGGTTGGAGAGAGGGCAAAGCGTATCCTATAAATAAGGTGGGCCGATGTACATTAGATAGCCTGAAATAGTATTAAAGAAGGGCCTACTTGTTTAGCTGGCCCTTCTGATTATCCCATCTGCCACGTACGCCTCTCACTCTTCTTCTGTACTCTTTTTTTAGAGAGAGAAAATAAACAAGAGAGAGAGAATCGCCGACGAAGAAGTCGGGAGGACGTCCAAATCGCAACAATGGCGTTCTCTGGATATTCTTCCATTTTAGGAAACCCTAATTCCGCCATTCTCTCTCCTCCTCCTCCTTCTCTATCTCCTTCTCTTACATTATCCCCTAAATTATCTTCTATTTCCTTCAATCATCATCCTTCTTTGTCTTTTCGATTCGATCATTCTCACCATTATCGGATTCATCATCGTCGTCTTCATCGCAATTCTGTGGTAGTTTCTTCTTTTTCAAACTATGATTTTTATTTTCTGTAAATGTTATGAATCAATTGTTAATTTCTATCAATTTTGAATTTGGAATGCAATTTAGTTGGAAGGTTAATCTGAATCTAGTTGGAGATAATTGGAGGGTCATGGTGGGGTTTAGAATGTTCAATCTGATTGTTTTGGAGTGTTGGAATGATTTGTTAATTTATGATTAGATTTCATAATTAGTATTGAGTATGGATGACCTAATTATATCATGAATGTTGTTTTAGTAATAATGTTGTATCCTTTATTAGGAAGGGTTGCTGGAAATTGAAGATGAAATCGAAGATTTTGTAAAGATATAGGATTTTTGGGGATTTACAAGAATGATGATTAATTGTGTTACTAATTGATGGCAGGTTATGGCATCTACTAGTACTTCAAGGCCGCTGAGGATTATGATATCCGGTGCTCCGACATCTGGCAAAGGGACGCAATGTGAGCTTATAACTGACAAAGTAAGCACATATCTCCCTCTCTCAACCTCGCTTTCGAAGAAAGACATGGGTTTAGAATGTCTTTAGATTTTAGTATAACGCTATTATTTATTTGGTGTTGAGTTTGATGGATGGTTGATGATTGATTTGAAAATCAGGCAGTTCCTCATTGTTTTGCTATTGTTGACATAGTGAACTATATAACATTCATTTATCGTGATAAATTTCTGTTGAAAGTGCTCTTATGTCAAAATTTATAACTAATGTTCCATGTATGATTTCCCTTCTTTCTTCTTATGTATGTACTATGCATCTCGCGCTTGTTGTGGGTCTTGTGGCTGTATGTACTATGTTATCTTTTGGTTCTCTGCTTGAAATTATCTTTATGGGATTGCCCCTGAAGAAAACAATTGAATCAGGTAATCCTCATATATGCAGTATGGTTTGGTGCATATTGCTGCTGGAGATTTGCTTCGGGCAGAGATTTCATCTGGTAGTGAAAACGGAAAACGAGCAAAGGAATACATGGATAAAGGACAGCTGGTTCCTGATGAAATTGTTGTGATGGTAACGTACTAATTTGCACAAATTTATACCACAATGTTTGCATTATCTGTTGACAGCTCCTTACTTTAGCTGTTATTATGCAGATGGTCAAGGACCGTCTGATGCAGCCTGATTCACAGGAGAAGGGCTGGATTTTGGACGGATATCCAAGGAGCTTATCTCAGGCAATTGCTCTAAAAGACTTTGGGTTCCAGCCTGATCTTTTTATTCTTTTGGAAGTAAGGTTTTGTTTATCATTCTTCATTATTTAAGTGTTTTCCAGCAATTAGATGATTCTTTGCACCACAGTTATATCTAAGGAGATTCTCAAAGAGGGGCATTATAGTTTGCTAGTATTTTACCAACTCTTGCTTGATTTAACTTCAATTTTTCTTTCTATCTTTTGGTTTTTAATAGCCTAGTACAGCGTATTGGCCATATATGACCCCTCCATGACCACCTTTAACCAGCCATTGCCTTTAACCTCAGTTCTTTGAAAATTCTTCCGAACATAGAAGTAAAAAAATTAATCTTGACATGAATTGACAATCCATGGTATTATGAGAGAGCAGCATTTTGTGATGCATTCGATAGCAACCTTCATTTTCGACCCCCCTCCCCCCCCCCCCCCCCCCCCCCAAAAAAAAATAAAAAAAATTGCCCCCTTTCGTTATTTCTCTCATTTAAGTCATGTACTTGGGAAATCTGATACAATAGTTTTCTGGATTTTTTGATATCTATGTGGAAGCAACCATTTGGACATAACGCACAAATTACACTAGCCATAGCCCTAACTGACTTTGATGCTGAGATTTTGTCTTGTGATCTATAGATATTATGCCATGGAAATTGATTGGTTTTGTCTGTTAAAATATTGTGGCATTTTGTGGTCTTCTTTAGATTTACTTGGTATTTCTAAATGTATATGCAGGTACCTGAAGAATTGCTTGTTGAGAGGGTTGTTGGACGGAGACTAGATCCTGTTACTGGAAAAATCTACCATCTGACATATTCACCTCCTGAGAGTGATGAAATTGCTTCCAGGCTTACCCAGCGCTTTGATGATACTGAAGAGAAGGTATGCAGCTAGTCAATATTTGACCATGTTTCACTTTTTTTTTTTTTTTTTTTTTTTTTTTTTTTTTTTTTTTTTTATAATGTTAATCTTCTTTTAAGGGCATTATGTAGGCATATGTTGTCATTTACTTTACTTTTTTTTTTTTTTTTTTTTTTTTTTTTTTTTTTTTTTTCCATTGTATTTAGGTAAAATTGCGCTTGCAAACTCATCATCAAAATGTGGAGGCTGTGCTTTCCATGTACGAAGACATAATTGTGAAGGCATGTCTACTTATCTTATGCTTCTTTTTGTTTTCCCACATAATCTTTCATTCATGCCTGAGTAAAGTGCAACATGTCATGTTTCTTTATTTGTTTGTCTGATTTTATTCGGTATTTCACTGCCTTGTAAACTACACATCTCCATTTCCAAAGCTTATGGAAAATTCTTCTTAAGTAGTCATTTTGTGTTCACTTATAGTTGGTCGAGTATTCTATAATATTATAATGAACTTTGCTCTTGCCTTGATCTGAACTTCCCAAGGATATATGTTTGTGTAAGACATCTATATCTGTTTTTATGTTATTTGTCTGCACAAGGTGAAGAGTCCTAGTTTAGGTCATGGTAATGGTTGTTGAAAACTGAAATCAGGCTGTTGCTTTTCTTGGTCGTCTGAGTTTCTTTGTGGGAAGCATTTGGTGCCATTGACTTGATCATTTAAGAGCTCTTATCTGATTATCATAGATTTTACATCTTTGTCATGACTCATGAGATCTTTGTAATAACAGAAGGGAAAGGTTGAAGCACATCTAGACTTCTAAGGTGTCCCTAATTTACCCTTACAGAATGATTTATTAAAAGAATTTTATTTCCTTGTACGATAAGAACATGCCTACCCTGCAACAGGGGAACTGCCTGTCTCTTATCCCAAATTATCACAGTTCCTATCCATTTCCAAACCCTCTTATACACCTACCATCACTACTAATAATGTTTACTTTATGCTGAATGTGATTGTTGTCTGCAAGCGATAGGCTTTTTTGGTCAACCAAGCATTGGCAGAATTGAATAAGGAATGCCTGAAATTAGCAAATATTAATACCTATTTTTAATACTTAGCATACTATAGTCTGGTTTTACGGCTTTTACTCCTGGTTTGATCCAGTTCAGTTTAGCTTGGTGGGCAGGGAAGGAGAGTGGTAGGGTATTGAGTAACTGTAAAGAAATGATGAGAACTTCTTAATAAGTTGGTAACAAAAGGTCTGTTAGAGTTTTGTTGAATTAGTTATGAGGCAAAATGCGAGTTAGTACTCTCACCATTTTTTTCGGGATAAAAGTGGGACTCTGAGAGGGTGGATGCTATCCATTTGGTCCCTTCTTGTAGGCCTTGTATTATTTTCTCCAGGATTCTACTGTTTAAACACATTGGGCTGCAGATTCTTCTCTGTTTGCCCTTTCTTCGGGGAAGCAGTTTAAGTTTAGTTAGCTTGTATATGGATGTTTTTGAAAATGTAGCTTATGGTTAATGTTGAGGATCGGCGTTTTAGAGTTGACTTAATGTAGATGTTGCCACCAATTTGTCACCTACTCCTTTGAGCCTCAGACCTCAAGATACGGTAAGAAGTCTCAAGATGCTCCTTGGCCATACTGGCTGAATATTAAACAGTGCTGTACGCCAGAGGGAAAATTCTGCGCAGTATATTTGAGCATTTTGAAAGTTGAAATTTTCACATCAAGAGATGCTATCTGCTTAATAATTTAGAGTTACATCACCCACATGGTTTTAATATAATTAAGTTAATATTGGGTTTGAAGCGGCTCCTTCATAAATTGGTAACGGGATGTTTTGTGCTCAAGATACTTTATCCACTCTTTATCTTTCCAATCTGCCTTAAAAGAGTTTTTCCAACCTGCCTTAAATATGTATTTGGTGTTCTGGGACAGATGTGTATTGTACCCATGTTGGGTAATATTAAAGTTCACTAAAACTCCTGGTACAGTAAGTACACTTACAAAAACTGACAGTTTCTTTGTTTTATGGGAGAAACTGGGTTTCAATTTTCAAATACGATTAACCTGATTTGAACAAGCTGGAACAGCAAAAACATCTGAAATGGAGTGCATATAATATAGACACACACCCACACATTTTGTTACCTCTATTTGAACAACTGTGACTTGTAATGTGAGTTACATATTTAATATTTAATTATTCAGTTTTGGCACTGAGTATCATATATATTTCAAGTGCTCCCTTGTGTTAATCGTAACTAACTCAGGAAGTTTTTTTTGGCTTTCTGCAGGTTGATGGTAGTGTTTTAAAAGAAGATGTATTTGCTCAGATTGACAAGGCCCTCTCCAATCTTGTGGAGCAAAAGACAGCTTCAGAATCTGTGGCAGCCTAGATGTGACTAGTAGTGAGCTTACACGTACTCTACCCGTCCTCTCTTCTTGCCAAAGATTCCCTTTATTTGTCACTAGATAGCCATTTTTATTTCCTACTGCTTGTAATCGTCTTGATTGTTGGTAATTCTTTTGTAGAAAGTTTTTGGTTGGTATACATAAAAGCAGCCCAGCTTTCATATGAACTCCAAAATTAGTTTTGTTGTAAACATATGACAGAAATGAAGTTTATATCTTGATAAATGAAAGCCTCCATGGCATTGTACATTTTGGAGGCATCATATTACTTGTACATTTTGGAGGCATCATATTACTTTTATATATCGTGCTTAAATTCAAATATATTTTCACTATTTACTGTGAAGAGTTTATAGAATGTATTTTATGAAAATTTGATGACTTCTGATTTGCTAGTGTAGCCTACTGGGAAGCAGTGTGGAAGACTCGCTGGAAGGTTTTCGAACTATTGACTATTGATATGGAAATCCAGACTTTATGATCATTGATTGAAGTCAACTTTGCATGAGGTATGCGCAAATTGCATTGATTTATGTTGAATATTTTCTACCTACATATATTAGGTGCAACTGTCCATTTCCTTCTTTTTTTTATGGCCGAGATACTTCCGAAGGAAAGTTCTTTTTTTCTTTGTAGTGGATGGAAAAATTCTGTTGACGTTTGAAATAATTTACAAAGTTTACAATTGAAAAAATATGATTTACAAAGTTGAAAAGTCCTTCCTATCAAACATTGGACTTGTCTCTCCTAACAGATCCTTGAGCTTCCAAGGAAATCGTCATCGTGAGGATCCAGTCGAAGATGGGGTCAGTGTTGGCTGAACCAAACTAGCCGCCAAGGCTCTTTCCAAGCAACTTACTACCTCTGACATTGATGGTCGACTTCGGCCCTCTAGGCCGACACAATCCACGGCTAGGTACCCTATGAACTGCACTGCCTCTATTTCCACTGGTGTTGGAGGCGGCACATTTGGGTCCAACACCCTGTGGATTTCACCCCTCATAATGTATGGCACCACAAAATCCACTACATTTCTTGGCATACCTTCTTCATTGGTATGGATGGCTTTGTATCCACTAAGTACTTCCAAGAGTACTACTCCAAAGCTGTAGACATCACTCTTTGTAGTCAATATGTGGAGTCTGTAGTACTCAGGATCAACGTATCCTAAAGTACCAGCAGCCCAAAGAGACAGGTGAGACTCCCCGTCTTGGGGTCCCATCAATGACAACCCAAAATCCGACACCTTGGCTGTCCAATTACTGTCTAGCAAAATGTTTGAAGGTTTAATGTCACGATGTATGATAGGTGGCACAGCATAGGCATGCAGATAGTCGATCCCCCTAGCTGCATCAAGTGCCACCTGAAGTCGATTTGGCCATGATGCAAGTGGAGATGAGCCCTTAAATTTGTGAAGATGGTCATGTAGGGTACAATTACTCATGAACTCATAGACAAGCACTCTCTCATTTGCATCTTCGTAAAAGCCTAGTAGCCTAACAAGGTGCTTGTGGTTGAGCCTCGAGAGAAACTCGAGCTCAGCCATAAATGCAACATCCCTGTCTTCTTGCTTACGCCTGATTACCATTGCACTCGAGGCGGAAACTTCTGCTCGCTTAATTGCCACCTCTCTTCCATCTTCTAATATTGCGTGGTAGACTGTTCCAAAACTACCTATACCGATTCTATACTCTTGAGAAAAGTTGTCAGTCACTTTCACTAAGACCTCTAGAGAAAATTCCTCGAGGTGTCCTCCATTGCCCGAGCTATACATATGGCTTAACCTTTTTTCCAACACCGGTGGAGCCACTTGTTGATCTTGTGGCTCACGTCGTGGTATTTGGGGATTCTCGGCTAGCTCAATAGGTCCTGAATCATGCACCCGGCTTCCCCCACTTCCGTGACATCTACACAAGAAAAACACCAAAGATGATACCAATGAAAGTGACCCTAAACAGCCTACTACTAAGAACACAACCATTTTAGGTGTCCAACCATTGCTATTATCTGAGGGCTCCAACTTCGAGTCTGGAGACGGAGGAGATAATGAAGGCGCCTTCGGATCACAACGTTGGCACACCATCATTCCCAAATCACAATAGTCACCATATCCTGGCAAAGGATCACATGATGGACAGTAACTAGTACAAGGTCCAGGCATCACCCTAGCAAAAACCAACTGATTCCCATTAAGAGTGCTATTCCCCCAACACAATACCGAATAATTCGAAGCAACAACACCACAAAAAACACTCCCTTTAGCTACAATCCCTATGAAATCCGTCTCCACCAATGTCGTAGGCATCCTAAAACCGTCGTCCCCCCAACAAACAACCGTGTCATTGACACGCACAGCGCAGCCTCGGTTATCTCCTAAAGCTAAATTCTTGAACACACCATCTGGTTGATTTCCTACCACACTTCCCCAACAAGATAAACCTCCATTTAAAGATATTGCACAAGCATGTTGTGATCCAGCTGCAATAACACTATAATTCCCATTTTTAGGCTCTTTTCCCACAACTTTACTATCATTCCCTGAACATTCAATGCTACCATTATTACTATCTAAACCACAATGAAACTCATTACCAACAGCAATGCTGGAAAAACTTTCTCTGGGATTAGATTTCCAATCTCCCCACAACCAACAATTGATATTATTAGTCCTATTTACAATCCCACAAACATGTGAATTCCCAGCTTCAACTTCACTCAAAACCGGACCGCGATAAATTCTTTTATGTGACATGTTAGTCCCATTAACACCATCTAAGAACCTCCAGCATTCCATGACTGAATTAGATGATGCAAGAGATTGTGATCTCATTGCACAAAGGAATCCCTTTCCTCCCACAATTCTTGAGTATGATACATTAGGGAAAGGGATTCGGATTCCGGTTGGGAAACTAGTACAGTTGATGAATGATTGTTTGTTCAATGAAGGTACTAATGCACAAACTAGTGTTTGGTTAGAGGTGTAGGAAATGGAAACAGAGGAAAGGGAATTGAATTGAGGAAAACAAAGGAAACAAAAAGTTAAAATGAAGAAAAAAGTAGGGAATCGAAATGGGAAAGCCATAGAAATGATGGTTTCATTGTTAGGGAAGAAGAGTAAGGTAGAATGAGCTGAAAAAAATGAAATTTATTTAAGGGGGTTTTTATAATGTTATGTAGAAAATTAAGTTATGTTTATAGACCCATTTTACGCGTTAGGAATAATAATGTAAAGAAAAGTTTGTATTATAATTTAGATTGGAATATAAATATAATTATAATAGTAGTTGTATGACTAAGTCATAGTTTGAATGGATCATAAAAGAGTAGACGACTAATAAAGGACTAAAGCAGACGCGTCAACATCTGAGTTACTCGGTCTGTAACTCGTAATTTCCCTACACGACTCGTGCGAGTTGACTCGTGTAATACATGATTAACATGATTTTATTTTTATTTTTATGTTTATTTTTATTATTACTTTAAATTTTTTTATTATACTACTAAACATTGTTACACATTGTTAATATTTTTAATCATGTTGACCATCCTCTATATTAGAATTTGTTATATACACCCAGATGTACCCGTATGATACCCCTTTAATATAAATACATCGTAATAACAATTAAAAGTAATTAGCAATCCTCTATATCATTTGTTTCTATAAATCTTTTGTAATAGTGTTCTTATTCCCCAAGCAAATCCTAAAAAGTATATATTCTATAATTTATTAATTTGTAACACCTAATTTGTCTTACAAAATTTTTTGTATACATCTGGTTTACACTAATATTAGTGTACATCGAGCAGTATAAGGGTAACTTTTAGCTAATTTTAGGGTAACTTTTTGTCTTTTTTTGAGTAACTTTAAACATCATACAATTTTTATATAAATCAATAACAAGAAAAGTTTTATAAAGGTAATTTAATTACATTCAATCATTAATAATTGATTTTTAGTCATTTAAAATTTGATTCCTTACTAATAAAGCGTAGATAATTTTTATTTGAATTGGGTTACTTTAACTCATATTGGGGTAACTTTTATTCATTTCAGGAGTAACTTTTATTCATTTCAGGGGTAACTTTTAATCACTTTAGGTTATCTTTATAATTGATGTACAATAATTATTGTACACCCGATTTTTTTAAAAAATTTGTGTTTGTCTTAATATTACATTATTTTTGTAATATTAAGCAGCTTAAAGACACTATAATTACGGAGAATTGTTAAAAGGAGAAATTATAGTCGAAATCTATATTAAAAGATACTCCGTACCTCACACTTAATTTGATTTGAATACAAACATCATATTTCAATTCCCTTAAAAGAAATCCATCATATTTTGACGAAAAAGGTAAGAAATATATGATCACCTAATTGTATGACGTACGTGTATCAAAGTAACATCGTGTACCAAATAAATAGCAATGAATTATAAATCCTAATTTTGTCATTCAACTGAGAAATCACCAAATAAAGTCAGTTTAATTCAAATCATATAACCACTACTGGGTTTTGTGTCTTCTTCTTAGTTAATCCATTTTTAATAAAGTAGAAAAGTCAACGATCTATAACTTTATAATATTATACGAAGTATCAAGTAATGAAGTATAAATCTTTGTTTTAAATTTGAGAAACCTACTTAAGTTATTTAGTCGAAATAATTTCTCTCTCTCTTTTTTATACTTCTTATAATTCATAATTGAGTGATATAGTGGTGAAGATATTAGTATTATTGTTCTTTCCTGTAATTATACAAAAGAGTATGAAATTTGACTATTTCAATTATATTAATCAGTTCATTCATTCAATGAAAGACTACAATAATAAAGCTTTATGCTTTGATTAGTCCACTTTAAGGATACTTCTACGAGAAATAACTACCGAGTACATGGTAATCATCGAAAGTTGACCTAAAATTAATACTATAATACTATAAAATTAAGGAAAAATGTAGCTCTAAGGCCCCGTTCATTTTACCTTATTTTTTATTGAACTAAAATTATTTTTAATGATTTTCATTTACAGAGTATATTTCTCCAAAGTTATTGAATTTTACAGAACTGAAATCGGGATTCCAATATCACCGAAAATCGAGAGGGAAACTCTAATTACTTGAGTTATCCCTCACTCTCTAGTACAGTATATAAACTATATAGTGGGTAAAGACTACACATACAATCGTTGTATGTGGTCCCTACATACAACGTGGAGATATTTGTGGCATTGATATCATTGATTCAGATATCCTTGAATTGGCTAAAGTATAAAATCCTACTCGTATGTGAATGTAATTGATAAGCTACAATAGTTTTATTGGGTGATTTTGAAATATCTTTCATTTCCTATTATTTCCTAATAATTATATACGGAGTGCCACTTTTATTATTTGCCATATTTACACCCTGCAAAGAACTATATAAGTTACACCGCGTTTAAAGAAGACATTCTCAATACATTATTATACCAATTTTTTTTCTTTATACATTTTTAAAAAAAAATATATGCATCAACATAAAATGGCTCAACAATTTTCACGTTTATTGGCTCTCATATTCCTCTTCCTATTTTTACAAGGTATATTTGCCCCCTTCATTTCCTATCAGTTTGTACTCCATATTATGCTACATATTGTATTATTGTATACATATATTAGTATTAACCATATTATTACACATTTATGTTATTTTTGTATTATTACAAATCATAATTTATAAAGTATATGGCATCATCAGTTTTCACGGTTTCTAATACACTAGTTTAACATTATATTTTTGTAATCGTGAATTTTGTAAAAACCCTAAAAATTATAAGAAAAAATAATAGTTTGAATGTATATTTTAAAAAGATTTTTAAACAATTCGCTCGACTTTATTTTCATATGATATACCGATGAGAATTTATAGTCAAAGTTTTTTAAAATTTGACCTTCAAATGAGAAAGGTTGTATGTATTAAGAAACGAAGGTATAATTTCGTTTTTCTTGCAGAAAAAGTTTGTGAATAATTAGATGTTGGAGAAGTTTAGGGAATTAGGGCTAAAATTCTGAAAACTTCACCTTATTTTTTTATACCAATCCTCAAAACTATTTTGTCACTTCCAACCATATGCAACTTTTCCCCTCAAAAAAAAAAAAAAAAAAAAAAAAAAAATCCATATGCGACTTTTTATTTTTATTTTGTTTTTACAACAGGGAACTAAACAAACCATATACAGTGTTAACTTTAATTACACAATAATCCGTTCAAAAAAAAAAAAAAAAAAGTTACACAATAATCCCTGTTTTCTAAATAAATGCAATCACTTAACTTTGTGCACTATTTGTATACTTTATTAACTTTGTCTTAATTTATTTCACATGTTGTTTAATTTATTCATAAGTTTTATCAGTGTTAACTTTTTGAATTTTTTTTTACAAATATAATACTCTGTATACAATTAAATGCATTAATGGTTAAAGTTATATGTTGGCTTCGTCAAAAAAAAAAAGAAGTTATATATTGGCAAACATATATGTCCAGTCAAATTGACTTAATCGGAACTAAGTACGTACTGTACAATGCAATAAATACGAAATAATTTTGTTTTTAAATAGGCAAAATGATCGAATAAATATCATTTATGACCCTCTTCACGAGAAAAACTACTACTCTGTAATGTACGTAGGAAACGCGATGGATACGGTGAAGGCAGGTGGATGCCAAGCAAGTTTAGGAGAGTGTAAGACTGATTGTGTAGAAAGGTGTAGGCAACAGTTCGGAGGAGAAGGACGCTGTGAATTTAATTTATGTAACTGCTACTACCCCTGCGGTTCTTATCCGCCACCACCGCCACCGCCGGTGAAGAAATGCCAAGGGTATGATGGTACATGCAGCGTGGAAAGTTGTGGTGATGACTGCTGCCTGGCTAGGTGCAAGACCAAGTACCCCCAATGTACCTGAGTTGCAAGGGTTTTGTCAAGAGATTATAGGGACTTCTTATAGACTTTGCTCATGCTTCTATGATTGCTAGATTTAATTTTACTATAATTAGTAGTCTTATTACTCGTATATGGTTGTCGATACATGCATTTACTAGTATGCTTTAAATAAAAACAAAGGACAATTTTTATTAGTATTAGAAAAGGATGGCGATATTATTAATATTATCACAAAAAAAAAAATTATATCACAAAAAAGACAAAGTCATACGGTCTATAAAGAATCAATGAGAAGTCGATATGTAATCCGGGTCCTCACTTTTCTAGCTTTAGCAAATTCTACCTTAGTAAAGATATGAGCAGCAACACATGCTCTAATGCTTTGAGTTTTCAAGAACTTTTGGACTCACATACTTTATCAACACAACCACCTCCTTTTCTAATTCCCCAAGTGAGCATGTAAATAGTTTAAAAAGTCAAAATGTTGCAATTTGAAAAGAAAATAAAAGATAATAATGGCATGGAATAACATTAAATCAGAAATCCTTAGCTAATAAATATAAAATCCTCTTATATGGTATGTGAATTGATTTATTGGTGATTTGAAATATCTTTCAATTCCTATTATACACAAATTATTATTTGGCATTATTACCCCATGCAAAGAAGTATATAAATGTCCTGTCAAAAAAAAAAAGAAGTATATAAATTACGTTTAAGGATGACATGTTTTACTTAAACTTACAATGGCTCAGCAATTTTCACACTTATCGGCTCTCATATTCCTCTAGTATGGTATATAAACTATACAGTGGAGATATTTGTGGCATTGATAACATTAATTCAGATATCCTTAAACTGGCTAAAGTATAAAAATCCTACTCGTATATGGAATGTACTCCCTCCGTTTCATAATGTTAGTCCCATATGTAATCAATCACATAAAATAAAAAAAGAAATATATTTGGAATCTAATATTAAAGTACAATAACATACTCCGTAATTCATAATTAGGGCCTGTTCATATTTACTGAACTGAACTGAACTGAACTGATTGGAGCTGAACTGAACTGAACTGAACTGATTGGAGCTGAACTGAACTGAATTGAACTGAACTGAAAAATTAAAATGCATAAAACTGAACTGAACTGATTAGAGCTGAACTGAACTGAACTGAATTGAACTGAACTGAACTGATTGGAGCTGAACTGAACTGAACTGAACTGAAAATAAGTAAATATGAACAGGCCCTTAGTTTACTTTAGTTAACTTTTTTGGTTTTTTTTTTTATTAGGAAAGCACAATAAATTAATTCCAAAAAAATCAAGTTATAAATGAAATATATTCAATAGGGGTAGATTTTTTTTAAACGCCCAAATTGGTATATGAGACTAATATTATGAAACGGAGGGAGTAATTGATAAGCTACAATAGTTTTATTGGGTGATTTTGAAATATCTTTCATTTCCTAATAATTATATACCACTTTTATTATTTGCCATATTTACACCCTGCAAAGAACTATATAAGCGTCTCAATACATTATTATACCTTTTTTTTTCTTTTATACTGTTTTAAAAATATATGCATCAAGCTTACATAAAATGGCTCAACAATTTTCACGTTTATGGGCTTTCATATTCCTCTTTCTATTCTTACAAGGTATATTTGCCTCCTTCATTTCCTATCATCAGTTTGTACTCCATGCTATGCTACATACTCCGTACTATATTATTGTATACAAATATTAGTATTAACCATATTATTGCACATTTTTGTTATTTTTGTATTATAACAAAT